CCATGAGTGGTCTCACTTTTCCTCTTCTGATTCTCTCCCCCATTCCATTGTGGGGGAGTGAGCGAGCGGCGGTGTGGTGCTTAGTTGCTGGCTGGGGTTAAACCACGACAGCAACCCACCAGCAAGTTAGTCAGTACATAAACTCTGGAATCTGCTTTTCATTCTATTGTAAAATGGACAAATCCAAAACCATAATATTGAAAGCACAATGCTCTTTAACGACCCTCCCCTCCCAAATTACAATTTGTTATAAATAAGGGCTGTGATATTGAAACAGTGAAAAAAAAAGACCCACACTGTTAGTATTACCACAGAAACATGGGGTTTTTTTTCCAACATCAGAAAATTTTTTGACTATAAGTACTTCCATCACCAAGACTTACTCTTTCATTTGACCCAGTGCAGAATTTTTTTCTGTTCTCTTTTCTTCTGCCAATGAAGACCTAGAATTTTATAAAAAGCTAGAGATGAACATTCGTACAGATACATTTCTGCTTCGTTCCACAAAACCCCCTTTTAGTGGATAACGGACAAAGAAACATAAAGCTCTTTTTCAGTTCTTTGTACCATATCTAGATTTGAGTACAACTGAACAACTTAATGAATTTTGCTTTTTTTTTTGTATAAGCAAGGACAAAAAAGATATTTCAAGCAGTAATCCATTGTAAGGGTACAGGGAATCTGAGAGTATCTGGTTCATTACCTGCTTAAGGACTACTCAGTGTGAATGAAAAAAATAACAAGGAAAGCGATAAATAAAACACAAAAGCATACAGACATTAACAAGCAGGTGATAACAGACAGTAATAGAAAATGCATCTGCTACTGAGAGGAAGAACAGGACTTGGATAGCTGTACTTATGTTTATGTGATTAGTTTTGGTAGTTGCGGGGAAAAAAGGCCCTGCTCTGTCTGTGGTAGTCCATGCAGCCAGCTGCATTAGTGTTCCCTGTGTACGCGCACCTCTGGCATGCTGACTCAACCTTGCTACTGGCAAAACCTGTAAAGGGAACAGTAGCAGCTACATCCATCCAGCTGGAATGCAGAGACCTTGTGGGTCCTGCAGTGTGTTTTGCTCTTCAGCACCTAGGAAGGAGAAATGCTTAGCTTCCTGTAGCCCACTAGATTTGGCAGGCAGTCATAACATCCCTAGCAGGCATAACTAAAAATTTAACAGCAGCAAGTTAAAAAAAGAAAAAAAAAAACAAACAAAACCAATCAACCAAAATTCTATTATTCTGCATTTTAGAACACTAGGGACAGGTTGGTGTTTTTATATTTCAACAAGTACATTAATCTCTATTCTCATTTCTGTATGAACATTGAGTAGATGTGAAAATACCTAGGAGCTTTTGTTACCATTGCAACAATACTGCAACTGTGTTAATACTCCAGATTTAAGAATTCTCCTTTTCACAATTATTAAATTGGTAGAAAAAGACAAATCATTTAACCTAAGGAGAGAGAAAAGAGTCATACTTACTTCATAGGATTGTTTTCTGGCAGATAGTATATCAAGTCCCTCATGGTCATTTTAGAACGATCTGGTGGAGAACGTCCTTCAATTACTGGAGGCCTGTGTTTCAACTGTTTCCATATAAAAACAAACAAACAAAACCCTTAAATTCACCCTGAAAGTACCTTGTATTTCACAAATTAATATTTTTCTTTATTTACGAAGTACCCCATTCGGGGAATTTTGTTGTTCCCCCCCAACAACTGAAATAAGTTTATCTTAAAAGTGTCCCGTTGTCAGAGAGGATGCCACGGACCCTTAAGCAACTTAACCTCTCAGAGAAATTCAATACTTGGCACAAGTAGAAGTGAAAAGTTATTAAAAAAATCACAGAACTTGGGCAACAATCAAGTTGAAAAGATCTAAGAAACTCCAAGTCCCAAGCTTCTTACAGCACACTTCCCCATTGTATTATCAACCATGGAACTTATAAAATTGGAATGTTGACTATAATATAATAGCAAGTCTTATGTCAGAAAGGCTTGTGGGTCTACTCCAATGAAAAGATATAAAATTTCTCTTGAAATCTGTATTATGAGAGAAGACAGTGCTATTGTAAGTGCTTATAAACAGACTAAACCCATACAGAGTTATGAGGTATCACAGACTATTAGCAGTAAGCAGCTGATGATCATCAGAAAAGACTACTGCAAAGAGGTAACTATCTTAGGTGAACCACATGTCTTTGCCCTTCACAGATCAGCACTGCTCAACACAGAGGCCTACCATCCGCTCTTTCTTCAGCTCTTCTTTAAGCATTTCTCTTAACTTCCGAGCTTTGAGGATCCTTTCACGGTCAGAACATATTCGTTTCTCTTTTACAGGAACAGATTTTGTAGGTAGCTTTTCTTCTTGTGTTCCCGATCTTTCCTGTGTTGGTCTCTCCTTGAGTGGGGAGGGTACATTCTTCTGCAAGGTATCATCATTTTTTTGAGCGGCTACACCTACAGTTTGCTCTTTGTTCACTGATTTTTTTAGCGGGGAAAACTGTGGCACTTGTGGCACAGGTGTTTTCTTTTCGGGCAGCATGGGAGACTTCAAGGAGCTTTCAATGTTACTCTTTTCTGATGGAGAGGAATCCTTCTGAAGTGAAGCACTGCTGTCAGGAGCCTGTGATGCTCGCCTCTGCGGTTTTGATGCAGAACGCTGAGCAGATGAAGGTCCAGCTCTGGGTTTGACAAGATTGGGCATGGTGGAGATCCGTTTTCTTCTCTGTGTAGGCATCTCTGCAGGTTTACTAGCTTCTCCAGCACCATTTGAGCTATCAGCCTTGTCATCGCTGGAAAATTTAAAAGAGTATTCTGAAATATTTACAGTGACAGATCTGTAACCCTTACTTTCAAGATATGTTTATGCGCCAATCGGTATAACATAGTGCTACAGAAAAATGCAGTTATATACAAGAAGTCACACTAGAACCAACCTGTAGCTGGTACTTCTCCATAAACTGATCTGCTATAAGAACGGTTATGTTATTTTCTAGTATTAATTACTATTAATTAATGTTACTGTTACAAGCTAGTTGACCAACAATGCTAAACTCACATGTTCCTTCCCCACCCCCTGCTTTTTTGGAAGGCTCTCTACTTTCAGCTGAGAATACCAAACATCATCATACAATAAAGCTTTATAAAAAATAACCCACACAACATAGATGACACATTAAAAACATTTTAATAAAGCTATATGCAACAAGTAGTTTGATGATTTTTATTACAATCAACCTGAACGTTCCTTTTACACGTTTGCAGGTAGATGATATGTAAACTGTGAATTCCAAAAAAAACCTCAGCAGCAAAACTGGCTGCTGTTATTCTCCTACTCACACTTAACACATCAAAAGTTGCCTTATAGAGGCAAGAACTTTTGTCTTCCCTGGAAAGCTTTCTATTCAAGTACTTTTTCCATCCCTTTTGCAGAAATAATTTTTGAAGTGCAAGCAAAATTGCCACCCATTATGATCTTCCTAAATCTGCAGGCTCCTCCAGTGTTTGGCCCCTTGGCTGTTGCTCACAGTAAGACTGCAGCAGAATTACAACTGAGTCATAAAGAGTTTTTTTAATTTTACATTGGAACTATGCCTTGTTTCTGTACATAAGGACAACCACACCCATGGTTCACTTAGCTATCTTCAAAAACAGTCAGAAGCAAATGCCTTTGAAGGAATATAAGAAAAGCATAAACATACAGTGAAACTTTTCCAAATCCTTTCCAGCTACTATCCGTGACTCAGGCAAATGCTGCAGATGATCTTTTTGTATTTAACAGCCCCAGCTGTTAGCAGAAACTGTATTTAAAAAAACCCTCAAACCCAAAAAATTATGCTTAGAGAATTTTCACTTCCCTGATAAGCAACAAAACTCATTCAGCATTTAGAAAACAAAAGAAAGGACAGTAAATGGCACTACAGATACAGGTTTGAGCAGCTATGAAGGAATGCCTTCATAACGAAGGATGAATATGCAAGATATTTTCACGTTTACCTTTACTTCTCTTGCAGACCACAAAACAAACACACTGTGCTGTATGTCAGCAATCATTGCACTCAGGAAATCAAGTTGTGTGACCTCCCTCAAATTCACTCTTCCTGAATCTTCAGAGACACCCAGGTGACCAATCTTTAAAACGCATCATCTAGAGAGACAGCTCACCAAGAAGCTAATAATGCCTAAACTGCAATAAATCCCTAGGCCTGCTTTCTCTTATTTGGTTGCTATATGCCTTCAACAGTAACAAAAAACTTTAAGAACCAGCTATTTGGTGGAATTTAGGGTGACCAAATGGGGGCAAGAAGGGAGCAGCTCTCACCTGTGCCTTTTCTACTTGCTCCCAGGACTAAAAGTTCCCCTGAGAGTCTCCCAGCAATTTTATGTTAGATACTACCTTCTCCCTCCAGCTGAGCTGTGGAACTCACCACAGCACTCCAGCAGTCCATGTGCCTCTTCTAAAAAGCGCATCATTTTCCAAACCTCTGCTTCTCCAAAGTAGCTCTTTCCTAGCCACATCCCACACATTTCACTGCGTTGGCAAACTGAAGAGGTTTGTATGGTACATTCAGTGTGAACAGCTTCCATCACAGAGTCTTAAATTTCTTACAACTGCTCTACTTTTTTCTTTAAAACAGCAGGATGTGGTTTTGCGGATTTGTTCGCTCGAACATTTTTCGCATTTACTGAGGAAAATATTTTATGACCCTGCTACTTACATGGCAAAGGTCTATTTTTCAAGCCCCATGAATAGGTTCCTTAGAATATTCTCCCTTTCAGAATAGCATTGGTGTCTAGTTTTGAAACTTACAATTAGATTACACTGAGGCACCCACTAAATTACAAACACAAAAATTTTTAATAAATCCGCTGAATCATCAACAGTACCACAGAACTGAAAAACAGCAACAATATCTTCATTTAAGAAAAAAGTTCTGGATAACAAAAGATCCAGTAACCTGATCTCTGTAACACACAAATTCTATAAATAAAATGTGAAAGAAAAATATCCTTACAGCACATTGTAAAACAAGTTTAAGTATAAAAGATGAAAGATACAAGTTGAATAGAAGACAGCATGGGTTTACCAAAGACACGTTATGCCAACTAGTCTGATACCTGAATTTCTAGTCACAGGAAACAGAAGACTGTAAGAAGACCTTGTATTATGTCATAAAGGACAAGTTTCAACTAAAAGAATAGAGGTATTCATGCAAGATGCAAAACCGACTAGTTAAAAGAAGTGAGAAGGTTGTTCTGAAGACCAATTACCAGACTGGGGAAATGTCCTGAAGAACTGGTCTGTACTGCTTCTGGTGGGGATAGAGTTAATTTTCCTCACAGTAGCTCACATGGTGCTATGTTCCAGACTTGTGACCAAAACTCCCTGGAAGTGTTCGAGGCCAGGTTGGATGAGGCTTTAAGCAACCTCGTCTAGTGAAAACTGTCTCTGCCCACGGGAGGGGGGTTGGAACCAGATGATCTTTGAGGCCCCTTCCAACCCAAACCATTCTATGATTCTGTGAAAACAGTGCAGACAGCACAGCCCTGTTTTAGCTATTGCTGAGCAGCGCTTACACAGCATCAGGGCCTTTTGTCTTTCTCATGCTGCCCTACCAGCAAGTAGGCTGGAGGTGCACTAGAAGCTGGGAGGGGACATGGGTGGGACAGCTGACCCCAACTGACCAAAGGCATATCCCATACTATATGACGTCATGCTCGGCATGTAAAGCTGAGGGAAGAAGGAAGAAAGGACACTTGGAGTTACGGCATTTGTCTTTCGAAGTAACCACTACATACATGAAGCCCTGCTTTCCTGGGGATGGCTGAACATCTGCCTGCCCATGGGAAGCAGTGAATGAATTCCCTGTTTTGCTTTGCTTGTGCGCACGGCTTTTGCTTTACCTATTGAACTGTCTTCACCTCAGCGCATGAGTTTTTGCACTTTTGCCCTTCCGATTCTCTGCCCATCCCACTGGGCGGGGTGAGGGGGTGAGCAAGCAGCTGTGTGGGGCTTAGCAGCCAGCTGGGGTTAACCCACAACAGGGAGGCCTGAAGGACCAGCCCTCCAACCAACCTTACCATGGATTTCCATTGCAGTGAAAAGCACTTAAAAAAAATAAACAACCAAAAAAGAAAAAGCCAGAAAGCTCTCCCTCACTAATGCGTGAACAGGTGAGCACAAAACAGGAAGCACTTGTAAGAATGCAAAATCAAAGTCATCCAGTTATGGAGTGCAAAGACTTTTTGCTGTACACAGCAAACGGGAGCTCCCTGCTGCTGCACTGTCAGAAAAACTGAGTATCGGACCACACGAGGCCCCTCCTTTGCAGTCTTGACTTACATAGTATTTCAAGCACCTGCAGTTCAACCGCGGTACAGAAATGCAGGTTTTGCTTAGGTTGCAAATGCATCAAACACCCAGAAGTCGTCGTCCGATTACCACACAGGCAGCTGTCCCTAGCCACCGGCCGGAGGGCAGAGCAGCACCTCTATTTCAGGAGGTCTTCAAGACGAGACAACTCCGACCAACGCAGGGACGGCCAGGAGGCGACAGGCTGTGACAGCGAGGGCTACTGGAGAGCCTGCCACCGCGACATCCCCGGGGGCTTCTGCAGGGCGGCGGGGGCGGGCCCCCCCCCCCCCCGCCTCTTCTAAGCCGCCCCCGATGCCCAAGGAGCCGGTCGGGAACCCCGTGCCAGCCTCACCCCATCCATTTTCATGCGGCGGCACTGCTCCCCGGGCCAGGCTCCGCTCCTTGGCTGGGTGCTAGGGT